ATGTGGATGGTGCTTGAGGATGGACCCTTGAAAATCCAAATGGAGAATCCTGAGAGGAATCCAGCAACTCCTGATGTAATCCAGTACATTNCTTGAGAAGTTCAAAGGCTTCAAAATGCTTCCCGGAGAATCATTTGATATGTTGGATGAAAGGTTCCACAAAATCTTGAATGATCTTGCCTCACTTAACCACGTTCTTTCTCCCAAAGAAAAGAATGTAAGGTTGCTGAGATCACTCCCAACTGAGTGGTACACCAAAGCCACAGCCATGGAAGAAGGAAGAAACCTGGAAAACTACACTGTTCAAGGTCTCCTTGATGAACTCAGAACCTATGAGCACGAGCTGAAAAAGAAGGAAGAACAAGTCACTCCCTTCCCCACGGCATTGATGACAACTTCAAGAATTCCATCAAGTGAAGGGACATGCACAAGAAACTGTGACACACCTTCCTCCAGCCAGCCGTCAAGCTCAAAAATGGAGAACTACGAAGAGGAATTTGCCATGATGGTCAAACAATTTCGGAAGTTCAAGAAGTTCTTCAAGAAGGCTGATTCAATCAGAAGGCCATCCAAGGGAAAGCCACAGGTAAGTGACTCCCCTCCTGAATCTTATTTATGCTATAACTACAGAAAGCCTGGCCACTGGAAGTCAGCATGCCCGTACCCAAAAGTGGAGAAGTACGGAGAAAGAGAAAGGATCGAGAAGAAAAAGAAAGCAATGGTTGCTGCTGAAAGTGACGGGTCATCCAGCTCAAGCTCGGATGAAGAAGCCCTCGTCTGCATGGAGCGCAGAGTTGAGAAGTCCAACCGTGAGGATAGGTGGACTATGTCAGAAGATGACACTCTCTGCCTAATGGCCAAAGATGATGCTGATCAAGAGGTAACCTCACAAACCTCCTGCTCATCTTCTTATAGCACACCAGCTTCTGAAAATCTTTTTGACCAGTTCAAAAAGATGATGAAAGACTTTGAGGAGATAAATCTCAAACACACATCCTTAACAGAAGAGAACAAACTATTGAGTGAAGAGAATCTCAAGTTGACTGAAAGTCGGAAAAGTCAACTGAATAAGATCACTCAACTCAAGACTGAAAATGAATCTCTCTCTGAAAAGGTGAAATCCCTTAACAAAGAGCTAGGGATACTCAAGTCCCAAGAAGCAGTGAACAAGCTGCTTGAAACGACCAAACATAAGGGTCGCAAAGGACTTGGGTTTGACTCCTCTAGTTCCAAAAGGAAAGGGAAGACAACTTTCATCCCTCCTAAACCTACTCCCAAACCTAATAAGCAGAAAGGGAAGGAAAAGGAGAAACCAACAGAAGTTCCCAAAAAGGTAGTCCCTCCAAAGAACTATAGGAAGCTGGACAGACCTCAAAAAGGAAATAATTTCAGAAGAAAACCTTCTAACCCCCATTATACACGAGGCTATACTCATTATGGGGTAGGCAGGAGTTTTCCAAGAAATTCTGAGTGGAGAACTATGCCAAGATATAGTCACCCTCCACCCCAGAAGCTATTTGTGCCACCTAAGTATGCTTATAACCGACACAGAACACACTATGCACAACCTAGACAAAACTATAGGTCTTATCAACCTAGGTTTGCTAGGAGGAAACAGGAAATAGCACCTCCTGCACGTAGGAAGTTTTATGCCTATAACTATGATTAATATCCCAACAACTTTAGAGCTGCAAGGAAAATTCCCTGCAACTTCAAACTTGATGTAGGGACACACACCATTAACTACTCCGGACCCAAACTTAATTGGGTACCGAAATCTTCCTCCTCCTAATGCAGGACGCCGCTAAGTACCCAGGTGTCTGGTACTTAGACAGTGGCTGCTCAAGACACATGACGGGTGATGCGAGCCTTTTGAGCAATCTAATTCCCTATGATGGTCCAAGGGTTACTTTTGGAGGAAGCAACGATTTTGGCCTTACTAAAGGGCTAGGAAATCTGGTGTACAAGGGACTAACCATCTAAGCTGTATCTTATGTTGAAGGACTCAATTATAACCTTCTTAGCATAAGTCAATTTTCATTCCCTATAGTTCTAATTTCTACTTAGGACGAGGTAGTATCAAAACAAATATGAATATTATTTTTAAAAGAAAAGTGGTACTATTTTTCCAAAGTCCTGTACATTTTAAAAATCCTAGGGACCAGTACTTTTAGAGCTTGTTGGAAATGAATTAAGGATTGAAGCTTAGTTTAAGAAGGCAGATTTTGTAAAGTACCTGAATCGGAGATTTCCAATTTTAGTACCAAAACTGAGATCCCAAGTTGACTATAGGGAATTAAAACTGAGATCCCAATACCGAAAAAGATTTTAATCTGTAGTTATGCTTTATTTAATTAACTTTAATGCTTATTACGTTTTCGGGCAAGATCCCAAGTTGTTTGACTTTAAAAAGGCTTCTGCTTTATTTTAAATTACTCCGATGGATTTTTATATGTATTGATAGAATGTTTGTTTTAAATTGTTTTGAAAATGTTGTATATTCGGATACCAATCCAGTGGCACACCGGTCCGCGGTCTCACGGGTTTGGGTTACGCGGGTTGGGGTGTTACAGTTGTTATGAAATGATTTGGCCTTAGATTAAGAATAATTTAAGAGCATTATTGATATATTGAATATCAAATGACTTGGAATAAAATATGGAAAATATTATGAATGTTTGAACCATATATTGTGTGCATGATATCAAATGGTTGATTATGAATTGAGATTCAATTTATGTGAATGTTCGACGCTTTAGATATGCTTACTCAGCTTCACCGATGAGCGTGTAGTGTGTTTTATTTGCTACACGCAGGTAAACAGAAAGATTAATGTGATCCTGGCGGCAGATGGGGCGAGATTGTCGGGATGGATGTGACAAGTTTTGAAATGATTTATGATATGCCAATATTAAATTCGCTTCCGCAATATTGTTAAATACTCCGTACTGTATATGTTATGAAAAATATTATTGAGATTAATAAAGTGTGTTTGAAAAGTTTTAAATTTTACGATTACCAAGTTAAATACTTTAGTCCGAATGGGGCTGTAGATCTGGACGGATTAGGGTGTTACATGAACGTTTAAGCTTTCACCTCCTTGGTGAGCAATGGATTTTCTTTGAAGATGATGATGATGTAAGTGATGTTTACACTCGAGAAAGCATACGCGAGAGTAAACTTCTTGCTTGGATGAAAGAAAATGAAATATATCCTCTTGCAAAGACTTTAACGTATGTTGAGTTCCAACAGAAATTTGTTTCGAAGCAAGCTAAAAGAGAGTATGAACCTTGACTCAAAGGGTTTGTTGTAGGCCGTGTTATATACGTCCCACTGAGGTCTGGGGAATCTTATTGTATGAGGATTCTAGTAAACATAGTGCGGGGTCTAACTTCGTACGCAAATTTAAGAACAGTCAATGATGTTATTCACAACACTTATCGTGATGTATGATATGCTATGGGATTACTAGACAATGACAAGGATGCATCAATGTTTTCAAGGAAGCAAGTGATTGGTGTTCTACCAAAGAGCTGAGCTTTTTATTTGTCACACTACTAACAAACGAATCAATGTTTAGACCAAATCATGTTTGGGAACAATGTTGGGATTTGATGGATGATGACATCCTACAATGTTAGAGAATCTTCTAAGTCATCAAGGTAGTATTAAACTATTACTATTACTATCGTAAAAGAAATAAATTTAAAATAATTTTACTCTTCTGATGCGCAGGTTTGGTGTTAATCGAAGATCAAATCAAGAATTACGCCTTGATCGAGATTGAGATGTTTCTTTGAATGCGAACTAAGAGTCTTCGAGACTTCATTGATATGTCTTTACCCATTTAGAAGATGCTTCAACAACTCACAATAGGCTAATTCTTGGCAAATTACAGTATGACCGCCTTGCATTGAAAGATGAACACTGTAAGATGATGGCAGAATTGAATGACGAACAACGTCCAATTTATGAAATAATAATGGCGTCGGTCGATTGGGTAGAGGGAAAGGTGTTTTTCATATACGGTTATGGTGGAATTGGAAAGACTTTTGTATGGAAGACTTTGTCTACTTCGATACGTTCAAGAGGAGAGATCATGTTAAATTTTGCTTCAAGTGGGATTGCCTCATTATTTTTACCTGGTGGAAGAACCACACACTTGCGATTTGGTGTTCCAATTATTCCCCAAGAAAATTCCACCTGTAACATTAAACAAGCAACACTTTTGCTAAATTTTGTCTTCGCGAGATTGTTTGATTGCATGGAGTGCCGGTATCTATTATCTCCGATAGGGGTCCCTGTTTCATTTCAAAGTTTAGGAAGAGACTTCAGCAAACTTTGGGTACCAAGCTAAATGTGAGCACAATCTTAGCTTCCACCATCATTGCGGAAGTTGGTCTTGTAGCGTATCAATTGGAGCTACCCCTGAACTGAACAAGATTCACAATGTGTTTCACGTCTCTATGTTGCGACGTTACCGATTAGATCCGACCCATCGGTTACCCGAGGGAACAATCACTTTGGACGATAACTTGACTTATGATGAGAAGCCTGTGCATATCCTAGCACAGGAGGTGAAGCAGTTGAGAAATAAGCGGGTGCCTTTGGTCGAAGTCCTATGGCGCAACCATGTCGTTGAAAAAGCGACGTGGGAGACTGGGATTCCATGAAAGTTCGGTACCCTCACCTTTCCAGTGACAATGATTCAGATAATTTCGGGGACGAAGTTATTTTAAGGGGGAGAGAAATGTAACGCCCCAAAACCTGGCTTAGTATTTTAATTAATTTAAAAAAATCTAAATTATTATTGAGCCGGTTAATATGCAGATTATTTTCTAATTTGCCTTAATGAATGAGGGTTAATCCTACATTATAGAACTCGTTGCTCTGAACCTGACCGCGCAAACAAATCGTGAATCAGACTTACCTCAATTGGACTAGGAAGTGAAAAATTGACATTAAAACATGTTTAATTATAAAAGGATGTGCGAGGACTTAGTGGGACATGCATTTTTTTTCTCAATCCGTTGTCCTTCCCGCAGCGCCAGGGCGACGGCCGTCTCCATCTCTCTCTCTCGTTCGTCCGCTCCTCCTGCTCTGTTCGCCGATCGGAGACGCCGTCGAGGATCGCCAATCGCCGCCGTCCATCTCTCTCTCTCTCTCTGTTGCTGTTCGTCTGGTCGCTGAAACAGGGACGCTGTCCGCTCGTCTCCGTCGATCAGGGCCGCAGCGCCGCCGTGACTCGCCGTCCACACCAGCGGTTCCAACTGACGTCCCTGTCCCGTCCCTCCATCGCGCATAGCAGGCCCGCGAAACAAGGGGAAAATTGCAGCGGCCTATTTCTTTTGATTCAAGTTGAATTCGTCTATTTTCGAGGTGATTTGTGGTTTCTATACCTTCCGTTAGGGTTAATTCATAGATTAGAACTTCCTTAACGTATAATTTCGTAATTGATTGTGAATTTGATTGTTTATTGATGCATTTGGTTGGGTTTGAAGAAATTGGGGGTTGAACACCGCCGGATTTCGGGGAGACGCCGGCGGCGGACGTCGGCAGTCCGGTCAAGGCTCCGACAGTGGCTTGGGTTGGCTGTATGGGATCCAATTGGGTCCAATTAGTTCCCATTGGATTCAATTTGGGTCTAATTGGGTTCAATCGGGTCCGTTCGGGTGCAATTGGGTGTAATCGGGACTGTTTGGACTCAAATTGATGCAATTGGGGCTGTTTGGGATTGTTCGGGTTGCTGTGAATCACCCAATATGGCTGTTTGGTCGGACTACGGGCTCAGGCAGCTGGGTCGGCTACCGGTGGTGGTGCCGGGGTTGGTTTGGTGACAATGGGACTGCTCCGGCGGGGGCAGCGGGCTTGAGGATCGATTCCTTGGGCTCGATTCCGCGCATGTAAGTTGGGTTAATTGTAATTTGGGTTTGTTGATTATGCATGACGGTAGTCGTGGGTCTTCGACCAGGATATTTCGCTACGTGATTTGTTGTGAATTGTGAACTGAGATTTTAATTAAACTGATCTTATTGGTGAATATTTTAGATTACGAATAATATATGAGAAATAGGTGACCTAGTATAATTAGGTGGACTTTAATTGGATTGACTGATTGAATCACCAATAGGATGTGGTTAGGAAATTGGCCATTGCGGGGCGTCGTCGCACCCCCGGTGGTCTTGGGTTAAAAACGTACGTACAGAAGTCCGCGACCTGTCCTGGCATCGTAGGGACATGGGCTTCAACCCGCCCAAAGTGAATCTCCTTTGGGCTTCTGAGCTAGCCCTTTTATAGCATCGCTTGAGGTGCCATGACTCATAGCTAGTTGATATGAAATAAAATAATGATATGATGTTCAAGTGGAAGGTGCTAATATAAATATGTTTTTTTAAGCTGTTTTTCTCCATGACCACATGTTGTTTAATTGTATGTTAACGTGGTGCTGTTCTGTGAGTTAATGCTGGCTTAGGTATATTTTCACTCAGCGTTTCGCTGAGCGTGTAGTCGTTGTTGTTTGACTGCACGCAGTTAGAAACATGGGTTTGGATGGGCAACCCGAAGGGCAGTGAAGTGGTGATGTGGCGTGGATGGCTCCCGTTTACTTTTAATAATTGAACTATATTTTATTTGATTAAACAGACTGTTAGATAATATTTGGTTTTTCTTATGCTTCCGCGACGTTTGAACTTGTTTTATTACTCCGATTAATTTTGGTGTAGCTTTAAACCCTTTGGATGAAATTTTGCAATTTATTTAATTGTTTAATTTAAAAAAATTATGCATACGAATACCAACTTAGTAACAACCTGGTTCGCTAATCCGTTGGTTCGGGTTACGCGGGTTGGGGTGTTACAGCTACGGTATGGTACGATATTTGGTTCGTACTGATACCGTACCAAATATTTTGGTTCGGTATGATATTGGTATGAGATTGTACATTGTACCGATCCCAATCTTGAAGTATCGATCCAGTATGGTTCGGTTTTGGTTTCGTTAAATATTGGGATGAATATATATACGTACATAGTTACACTTTGAAATCTACAAAACTTTTTATTTAAAAAAATCGAAAGTACATTCAAATAAAGAAAGATAAAGAATTGAAAATTTAATAATTAAATGCAAGTAATACTTGTGAAACTTACTTTAATTTATACTTCGTATTTAACAAAAAAAAGAGAACGAATGATAGCAAAATAGTATTTCAAATGTCTGTTAATTTTTTAATATTCATTTGCAAAAAATTAAAATTCAAATAAATGAATATTTAAATAAAAGATTATTTGTAATTCATCTACACTTGAATCGTCTTTTCAAATCAATTTACTTTTAATGAAGAAATATAAAAACATTGTTATTCTTATTACATATTTGTATATATATGTTCGATTCGGGATTTTTCGGTATAAGAAGTTATCTCGCATCGATCCCAAATACCTCTGGTGCAACTAACATGTGAGGCCGGTTCCCAAGACATTGGGAACCAATGTTATTGGATGACCCGGGGGGTGCTCCGGTGCCCCGTTCATAAAATTGACGGTTCCTACCCCTCTAACCCCCGGTAAACCCCACCCCGTCCTGACCCGAACACGCCCCCTACCCCTTCAACTACACTCCCAAGTTAATTTTGACTTTGGAGTCAAATTTTGACTCCAAAGTCAAAATCAACTTAGGGGTGCAATTGAAGGGAGTGGAAGGACGTGATAGGAACCGTCAATTTTATGAACGGAGCACCAACCGAAGCACTTCGAGTCATCCCATGACCCCAATGTCATGGAACCAAGGTGCTAACGCGTTGGAGTAAAGAATGTTGGGACTTGGGATGTATCCCTAAAAACAAACACTATAGCAATAGCATAGGAGAAGCCAAAGAGGCGGAAAGCAATTAACTGGAACTGGGAAGACCATGCCAAGACCGAAGGGCGAAGACAGAGGAAGACCAGTAGCCTCATCTTCACTGCCGCAGGCTGCCCGCCTCACCGCGACGCCCTCCAGGTCCAGCATTCTCTTCACTCTTCACTTCATCAGGTATGAACGTATGGTTTATAATAATTTATTGATTTTAATGATTAAATCCCTAATTTTATTTGTCTTTTAAATTTTAATTGTTCGATTTGTGTTTTCTTCTTCTATAGTTCTATGGAATTCAATTTCAATCATTACTTGGAATGATTAATGAATTGTAATTTGATAAAACAATCAGTTTTTTATTTTATTTTTCCTCTTTTAAAAAAATTATTGCTAATGGGTTCAAATGGCTTAGCCGTTTAAGGATTTAGGATTCTCTAATTGTATATGCCCGGGTTATTATTTTTTATCAAAAATAAAAAAATAAAAAAGTTACTCCTTGGTTCTCAAAATGTTTTTATACGGAGTACTATACTTGTAGAATGGTTCCTAAAAAACGGGTATCGGGCTATTATAAACATAAAAATAAAAAGACTTGAACTTACACAATCCTAGAGGGGAGCACTAGAAAATTCATTTTATATAGAGAGGAGGTCTCTTTTTATGTAAACTTGCAGTGATGTTTTCTATTTCATTGTAACATATTCAATAATTATTATGTAACTTCTTTAAATTTTACTTTTATTAGATACAATAGTCTATAGGTGCCAATTTTGTGTTTTTGCATAGAGCCGACCGGCCGTTAATAATGTAAATGTGCATCGTGATGGATGAAAAATGCAACATTCTCTTTTCTCAAGTTAAGTGCATTCTCACTTGATCCGCACCCTATATATGTGCCATGTATGTATTATGTATGCATATGTGTGTGTGTGTGTGTATATATATGTATATATATATAGTAAGTCTAATTTGACGCTACTTCAAGTGGTGCTAAATCTCGACACTTGTTTTATAGGGGCACCTACGGTGCTCTGTTCGTAAAATTGATGGTTCACAAAATAATGTGTTACTTTTATTCTACTTTATTAAATTGCTAATAGATTTACTTGTGGTCCTGGGAATTCAGTCGGAGTTCAATGCGGTCACATTGAGATTAAATTAACAATTAAATATGGAGTATTATAAAGGTCCCTTTCTTTTTGCAAATTCGTGCGGCTCTGGTTAATAGTCACAGTTTGTATTTCAAAGTTTAAAACTTAAATTATTGCATATCAATTTGAAATTAGATTGCAAATTCACGCGGTTGATAACCAGATTTTTCATCTTGACTTAAATTGTTGCAGAAAAATTTGAAATCTGAGAGAAGGCAAAAATGAGATTACTGAAAGTGGCTACATGCAATCTTAACAATTGGGCTATGGATTTTGATTGCAATATGAAGAACATACAGGTTTCCATTTCTAAGGCTAAAGAGGCGGGAGCTATGATCAGGCTTGGCCCCGAGCTCGAAATCACTGGCTATGGCTGCGAGGATCACTTCCTTGAACTTGACACCGTCTCTCACGCGTATGCCTCTTTGAAGTTTGCTAATGCTTAGAATATTTTCTGCATGCAGAAAATAATTAGCACAAAATTGACTGAGTTTTAGTTTATAAGTTAAAACGATGTATCCCCTAACAAGTTTGAAATCAAGATATTGTTAATAAATACTTATTGAAATAAAAGTTTATCATGCTTATCCATATTTGTTTTTCCACTTGAGAGGTTGTTTCTAGTACTCACTACTTTGTAGTACAATTCTTTGTGTTCTACTAAGAATGTTCATGCTCTAGTAAACTTGCAGGTGGGAATGCTTAAAAGAATTGTTGCTAGGTGATTGGACCGATGACATATTGTGTAGTTTTGGAATGCCAGTTATCAAAGGATCAGAGCGCTACAACTGTCAAATACTGTGTCTTAACAGGAAAATATTAATGATACGACCCAAGATATGGCTAGCAAATGATGGAAACTATAGGGAACTCCGATGGTTTACNGTACAATTCTTTGTGTTCTACTAAGAATGTTCATGCTCTAGTAAACTTGCAGGTGGGAATGCTTAAAAGAATTGTTGCTAGGTGATTGGACCGATGACATATTGTGTAGTTTTGGAATGCCAGTTATCAAAGGATCAGAGCGCTACAACTGTCAAATACTGTGTCTTAACAGGAAAATATTAATGATACGACCCAAGATATGGCTAGCAAATGATGGAAACTATAGGGAACTCCGATGGTTTACGGCTTGGAAGCAGAGATGTCTTGAGGATTTTCAGCTCCCAAGTGATGTTTCTGAAGCTTTGACTCAGACAGTAGTTCCATTTGGCTATGGCTATATTCAGTTTTCAGACACGTATGCAATTCTCATCTGTCCATTTTCTATTTATGTTGATATAAGATATATTTTGATATCGATACAAGGTTCCAATTTCTCAAAAGTTATGGAAATCCTTAAAATTTTAATTTATAGTCCTTTTGTGCTTCTCTCCCCTGCCTGAATGCTACCAAATGTGTACGTATAGTAATATTTAGCTAAGCATTGTGCAATTTATAAAATGTTCTTTGGTCTAATTAATGTAAAGAATTTTGTTAGAATTAAGAGATATAGAGTTACCTATTTGAGATAGTCTAATGTTTTGGAATATATGCTTCTATCAGAGCTGTTGCAGCTGAAGTTTGTGAGGAACTTTTTGTACCTTCACCACCTCATGGTGAACTTGCATTGAATGGAGTTGAAGTATTTATGAATGCAAGTGGAAGCCATCATCAGCTAAGGAAGTTGGATCTTCGCATGCGTGCTTTCGTAAGTGCCACTCACACACGTGGAGGCGTTTACATTTACAGCAATCTACAAGGATGTGATGGTGGTCGACTTTATTTTGGTAGCCACATGTACCCTCTTAACTTATTTTATAAAATATTTCTTATTTTGATTGAACCTCTACTTTTTTCTTTTAAAAGATTTTTTCTCTGATTGAAGAGTTATTTGCTCACTCTTTAGCAATTCTATACACAACAACAGAGTTAAAGAGTTAGGAAGAAAATGTATTAGTTCAATGTTTTCTGTTTTGCAGATGGATGTTCTTGCGTGGTTGTGAATGGAGACCTAGTAGCCCAAGGTTCACAGTTTTCTCTAAAGGATGTTGAAATGGTGTTTGCTGAAATTGACCTTGATGTGGTATGCTACAAATTCTTAGTTGAAAGTGCAACACTGAGTTAACCTCCCTCTACTAAAGTTTTTGTTTTCTAATTCTTGTATTTATGGTTACAATTAAATTAACTTGTACTCTGTATAATTGTATGATGTGACATGTGTTGCATACTCCTCCATGCTGAAATAATGTTCCACAAATCCCACAATTGACTGGGCACACTCATAAATCAAGGTGAAAGTGTGTGGTTTTGTTTTGTGCAGTGGAGAGAAATTGTGTGAACCACACAATTCCTTCCTCTAAATAGAAGAGCAACCTTTTTTGGGACAAACATAAAAGGAAATGTGGAACCCTTTCTTTGGGACGGAGGGAGTATTCATTGTATTGTGGTTGATCTATGATTCCTTTTAATTCCTCAAAGTGGTTGTGTTTTTTTGTTGTTATTTTCTGTCTTGCAGTTACTGTGAAAATGCCATTAGAGTTATGGCTTAATTTCATGAGACCCTATGGCTATTGTAGTTGTCTCATTCTAACTCCATTACTCCATTTTGCACCACTAGTCCCCCACCCTTTTTGTTTCCATCACCAAATCTTCTATGAAATCATTCCTTAATCATCAATAAAAGTTGATCATGCACTAGCTATGTACATGTTTTATTTAGAAGCATTTTATCTAGATTTTATGCAGCTTATTCAAAACATAATAAAGGTTGAAACTGATATTTTAAATATAGTTTAGTTACAGTTGAATATCATTTCTCAATACATTTTAATTGCTCTAGGGAATACACTTCAAAATAACCATTCAAGTTATTCCTTTTCAGGTTGTCTCTTTTTTATTTCTCTCCTTAACATACATTTTAACCATACAAATTCATCTTTCTTAAACTCCCTGCAAAATCAAAACGGGACAATGAAATTGTGCTAAGGGAAGTATTTGAGAAGGAATTCAGATAGCATTATGATATGGTTATGACACACTTATATTTGCTCGTAAGTTGCTATGGATACAACATAGAGGTACAACTTCAATATTCATGCGATATCTTGCTGGTTTGGCACAGAATTATCAAGGTGTCGCCTAGACGACGCTTAGGTGTCTGGGCAAGCTTTTGTGGACGCCTAAATGGTCGCCTAACTTTTTTTGACCTGGGCAAATCGTGAATTGTGAGGAAGATAGGAAATCCTTATCAATCGTCCGGATCGGCGATTAAGATCGTAAGATCTACTTGGATCGCGATCTACGGAAACCACTTTTACGTGCTGGAAAATTGAAGCGATAGGCTACACGACCCTTCAGTTTTGACGGCAAACCTGGCTACAGTGTGTCGACTCTTGTGCGCGACTGTTCTCAATCAATAAAGTAATAAAGTGTTGTGTTTTTTTCTAACTACAGAGAAAAGCCAGCGGAATTTGTGTTCTTCTTTTGAGGATATGTATTTTCTTTTATACAAGGTTTGGTTCAAGGAATTTGAAAAGGAATATGTGTTTTATTTAAAAAAACATCTGTTCATATATTTCAGAGCATGTACTCTTAAATTACTTATTGCATACTATATGCTATTACATCAGTACCTACAAAATTATTAAGGTCGCCATAGCCCACTCGCCTAGGGGACGCCTAGGCGGGCGCCTAATCGCCTAGGCGATTGGAAGGTACTCTAGCGCCCAGCCTCGCCTAGCCGCCGTAACAATTATGGTTTGGCATCACAGCATTTCCTTGTGTGTGTAAGTGTATTGTGTGCGTGTGTGTGTTGTTAAATGGGTAGTGGGAAAAGTATTCACCCTTATCATTGGTTACTGGCTTTCAATTGTTAGACTCAAGATAAAACATTTTGTTTCTTGTTGAAGTTGGATTGCATTATTTGTCTGTTTATTTCTCCCTACATCCCATCAAAAGTGTCTTTTTCACTCTGGTACAACCTTTTAATTTTAGCAAGAGACAACCATTGAAAACTATCAACTTTAGATATGTTTTTTAAATTATGTGTTGGTTGAATAAATTTAATGTATTTAACTTGTTAAAGATACTAAATAAAACATTAGATATAATGAAAGTTAGTTTTTTTGTTCAAATATGACTCTTTTTGTGATAAAAATATTCCTTCAAATTTGAAATTGGTCTCTCTTTCTTTGGACAAAGGGAATAGTATAGTGTTGTCAGCTTACGGATCACCAATTTTTCTCCTGCTTTTATGCAAGGTTGCTAGTCTTAGGACATCTACTAGCAGTTTCCAAGAGCAAGCTAGTTGCAAACCAAAAGTTTCTGCAGTCATTGTTCCTTACAAGCTTTGCAAGTCCTTCAATCTCCGAAGGTCACTTTCAAGTCCTCTTAAGGTAATGTGACCTATACCTATGATGTTTAAAGTCTTTTACATTTGTTTCCCTTGTAATGTTTCATATTTGTTTGCTCAAATGTATTAATTTCTTTGAGGGGTCGTTCAGTACATTTCTGAACTGACTGAACTGAACTGATTGTGGTTTAATTTTGAACTAACCAGCAATGAACTAAAACGAACGTACGGAAATTAAATTCAACTGAACGGCCCCTTATTTGGAAACTCTAGTTGTCTAAGCTGATAGCTTGTGCAACAAGTCTACAACCTGCCATGTTTTTAGGATAGTCAATCAACTCTTCACTTGTAACTGGTATGTTTCGCTTGCTGTTTGTAGATTAGGTATCACTCTCCTGAGGAAGAAATATCACTTGGGCCTGCTTGCTGGTTATGGGATTATTTAAGAAGAAGTGGTGCATCTGGGTTCTTGCTTCCACTTTCAGGTGGTGCTGATAGTTCGTCCGTTGCTGCTATAGTTGGTTCAATGTGCCAGCTCGTTGTTAAAGGTATTTTTTTTTATCTCCTTTATAATCTGAACATGAATATTTATTACCCAATTGAATACTTTTTGGAAGAAGAGTAGGGATCTTAAAGTTTCATTCTTGGCTTGACCGCTTGATAGTAGTACAATTCACCTTGGGACTGGGAGTACATTTGGCGTAGATATTATATATATATATGTATGTATGTATGTATGTATGTATGTATGTATGTATGTGTGTGTGTGTATATTGTATGTGTGTGTGTGTGTGTGTATATATATATATATATAGAGGTATTTTGAGGATAAGATTCTGCTCTCAGGTCTGCTAAGGCTGTGTTTGTTGCATGTGCTAGCTGTGCCAATGTGAAAGTTGTAGCCTTGTAGGTATGGAGTGTGTGCTAATTTGTTAAATATGTGTATAGTATTAATCATTAATGTAGCAGTAAAAGTGCTCTCTAAATCCTCTAACTGTAGCTGCATTTTTCCTTTTAGCCATCGACTTTGACTTCTTTCATTTTTGTTTTCAATTTAAAACCAAATTCTACTTCTAGCCCAAAGTATCTTCACTTTGTCTACGTGTCACTTAGTTGAATGACCAAAAGTTGAATATACTTCTAATGTAACACATGCAAAATTCGTTTTAATTTGAAAATCTGTGATTATGAACTCAAGCATTAACCCTTTAAGCAACTAGTTGTGTTTGACGACTGATTCTTTTTAAAAAATAGATGAATAAATTTGAGAGTAGGGCATTTGAAGTATTGGACTTAAATGTGTTTTTCAGCACATGAGATGGTTAATAAGGGTGATGATATTTGAACTCGGACACTCAAGTTGATAGTGGAGATAATTATAGTGTTCTACTAATAGCATTAATGAGTGTTTGTTTAATGAAAGGGTCAAGCTTGAATAGCCGGGCCACCTTTCCAGCCTGACTAATTTACTACTCCATATCTTGTATAAAATGAACCAATAGTGGTTTGACAGCTTAGTCTTCAAGGCCCCATAGTGATATTTGCCCGAGGACTAGATTACTTATTCATTAGGATTGAGTCTGCTATTTAATGAGTCTGCGGCATGCAAGGGCCTATGAAGTTGTTTATTCCATCTGAGATCAATGACACTCCGCAAAGGCCTATAACTGAACACAAAAGAAGTATTTTAATTATTAATTAAATTCAAATTAATATTTTATGATTTTATTCAACAAAGGACTTATGTGAATATGTGATGTACCTTTTCTTGACATTTTGGAAAGCGGCTTGTATCTTTTCTTTTGCTCGGTCCATTGCCTCGTAAAGAAATCCCATGGCAGGATGCTCATCAGAATCAACCAAACGAAGCACCTCAATGAGAGGTAATGCACCCTTTAAGCATATCACTATGCTTTTCCAAAACTCCTTATCCAACACAATCTCCTCCACATCTTTTCCATCCTTTATTTTTGAGTGTTTGTTTGTCTTCCACTCTTCTGAGGTAAACATTCTAATTAAAACACCTTTGTTTTCATAAAGACACCCCAAAGTTAGATAAGCAGTAG